ACATGGTGGTATATACACTTGCTTGGTGGGAGGAACACTTGCACCATTGTGGGAGGTGCACTAAGTTGCTTATTGTATTGTGTTGCAACACAATACACGGATTGGAAAACATCCATTACAAACACGGATTATATCACGTTAATATTCACTATTAACAAATAAATTTGGTCCAAAAAATTAATCAATCGAGGATCATTTGACCAAATCCGAATCCAAATCCAAATCCAAATCTCATTTCCCATTCACTCTAATTTTAAGACTATTTCATCTTAAATAAAAACTCAACATTAACACCATGAAAATGTTAAAAACATTTATTGCCAAATAAGATTCTGTTAACTGCAAAGATACAAAAAGAATAGTCACCAAAATAACCAAAAGCAGAACAGTATATTCTGCAACTTCCCTTCACCTCCTATTAATCAATTTTCTTCTACTACTACATGATTAGAAGCCAAAAGCTTCATACTTTTCAGTTTACAACTTCACAAAAAAGAAGGGTACAAATGTTGTAGAGCATAAAAGAGAAGATGCAGCAGCCAATCTAGTATTCTCGTCACCCTGTGAGTTTCAACCACACAAAATGAACCTAGTTACGGCGAGTACGAGGCAAGAAACAGAGAAGAAAAATAGAGACACAAAGTCTCTAGCAGACCATTTTTTAACAACCTTAGTTTCAACCCTCAAACTCTTAGCCCTCCTAAGAGCATCAACCTCTTTCAACAAATCAAACTCCACCCCTTTTCTCTTCAATTCCTCCACACACCTCGCCAATAGTTTCCCGTCCTCTTTCTCTCTCTCCAACAGTTTCTCTAAGTGACTCTCCGTATCCGTCTTGTACCGAACAGCCCAAATGATACCCAGAGAACAGAGCAGAGAACACAGAGATGGGATCCAAGAACGGTGGCAGAGCCCACTTTTAGAAGCCCATTTCGAGGAGGCACTAAATAAAAGCATAAGTGAAATGGAGTGGAAGAGAAAAAAGATGCAGTAGAGCTGGGTGATTTCGTTGCGGACCGAATCGATTTGGGTTTCTTTGGCGGCGATTCTATTGAGGATGAGTTCTTCTTCTTTAAGCCATTGCTTAAGTAGTAACTTGTGAGTTGGGGTTTCTGCGATTTGGTGAAGTGGGTGTAAAGGCTTCGATTCCATTATTGAAGTGTTGTTGCTATTCTGATCGGCCATTGAGGATTGAGAGATTGCGACAAATTGCTTTTGGGGTCAGGGGAGAAAGAAGGGTGGAGAGCGGAAAAACAATAAAGGCGAGGCTCCTTTTTAACGGTCCTCTCGGTTTGAAATATTGTAACGGTCGACTTTGTGGAGTTTGTCAAATGACTGTATTTCTAGATCTACGGCTCCTAGATGGATCCGGATTCGTTCAATTTAGAAGGAATATTTTATAGTATAGAGGTCCTAGAATTATTTTTACAAAGGTACTTACTAGTTTATTTTTCGATTCTTTTCTTTTCTTTTGAGGTTTTGGAAGGCCACACTATAAGATATCGCGTGCAACTTTCCATAGAAGTTCAAGATGCTAAAGCTAGTTTATTAGAGACAAAAATACTTACTCACATTTGATGTTTACACCAAATTGCACTTATTTATTATAGTTAAGTGATAAATTAATATGGTGTTATACATGTTTGACTAAAAAAGTGTAAACCCCTTTTTTCGAACTAATTATTAATAATAAAGAAGGTAAATAACATAATTAATTCCAAAGCCAAACATACAGAGTGCAAAATAGAAAAAGAATAAGAACGTGTAAGATTTCTTAATGTAATAATCTTGCATCAAACATGAGAGATGAGCTTAAGGCAGATATGCATCATAATCATGGGAGCAAGGAAGGGGAAGAGAGGTAACTGTTGATGATGAGGAGATTCCTCTTGTTTGCTCTATATCGTAGCTATCTTTCCGACCCCCC